TGTTGTAGACTGTATGCTACAACCTAATCCCGCTTGGACTTTGGTAAGTATGGAAGACAGTCTGGACAGATAGCTCAGCAGTTAAGAGCACTTGTTCTTGAAGAAGACCTGGATTCAATTTTCACAGGGTGACTCACAGCAGTCTAACTCCAGTCCCAGGAGATCCAACGCACTTCTAACCTCTGCAGGTGCCAGGAATACAGATAGTGCACAGGGAAAATATACATAAACTAATGAGAAGACAAAAGCTTGCAGCTGATGACCCAGCCCCAAACAAGCATAACTTGAAGGCCCACACCCGATATAACCTTAGCACTGAGAGAGAGAAGCACAAATAGTGTGGACACCTACACCTATCAGAATCTTCACAGGTTACTTGTATCATTTCTGACCCTATGCATGATGATGAATGGATGGATGATAAATTTTTTTCCTTCGGTTTTTGGTTTTTTGAGACAGGGTTTCTCTGTGGCTTTGGAGTCTGTCCCGGAACTAGCGCTTGTAGACCAGGCTGGTCTCCAACTCACAGAGTTCCACCTGCCTCTGCCTCCCAAGTGCTGGGATTAAGGGCGTGCACCACCACCATGCAGCTCATAAAAGATTTTTTAAAAACATAACATAAATGAGAATAAAGGGTCTCAGGTAGTTCAGATCACTACAGAAAACCTTGAAGACCTGCTTCTACTTCCCAAGTGCTAGAATTATACAGGCATGCTCCACCATACCCAACTGATAATGCGTCTTAATCGGGTTTTGGTTGGTTTAGTACTGGTTTTATAGAATTAATTTAGGGGGAGTACCTTCCCTCTCTGTGTCACAGAATAATTAATAGAAGCATTCATAGTGGTTTCTCAAAGGCCTGGTAAAATTTAACTCAATCCATCTGGTCCCTAGCTTGCTTTGCTGGGAGACAAAATTATGTCTGTGCAGTATTATGTCTACCAAAACATGATAAATGATACACACAAAAAGAAAGTGATAGACATGGTATGGTGATGCTTGCCCTTAATACCAGCACTCAGTAGGCAGAGTCAGGTAGATCTTTATGATCTCAAGGCTAGTCTGGCATCCCAAGTGAGTTCTAGGATATTTGGGGCTATGTAGAGACCCTCTCTGAGATAAAGGGAAAAAAGCTATAGAGCAGTATTGCTGATGAACATAAATGCAAAATATAATAAAATAATTACAAATTAAACAGCATTAAAAGATAGACATGAACCGGGCATTGGTGGCACACTCCTTTAATCCCAGCACTCAGGAGGCAGAGGCAGGTGGATCTCTGTGATTTTGAGGCCAGCCTGGTCTACAGATCACGTTCCAGGACAACCTCCAAAGCAATACAGAGAAACCCTGTCTCAAAAAAAAAAAAAAAAACCATGATTGCCGGCTGCGTTGGCACGTGTCTTTAATCCCAGTATGGAGGCAGAAGCAGGTGGGTCTCTGTGAGTTCAAGGCCAGCCTGGTCTACAAGAGCTAGTTCTAGGACACCTAGGACTACACAGAGGAACCCTGTCTCAAAACAAAAAGATAGACATGATCAAGCTGGTTTTGTTTTAGAAGTGCAAGGATCATCTAATATACACAAGTTAGTAAGCATAATTCAGCACATAAAAACAGAAATAAAAAAAAACTGTGATTGTCTGGACATGATAGTGCTCCCCCCAGACTTGAGATGTAGATGAAGATGCTTCCTGAAGAATGGTTCTAGGGTCAGTCAGAGAGGGTGAAGAGTAAAGACCAAGGGGTTAAGCAGGTGAATGCAATTGTGTCATGTGGCGAATGGAGGCAGGAAGTCAGGAGGCCAACACCAGCTTTAGCTACATAATTCCAGGCCAGTCTGGGTTACATGAGATCTCAAAAGAAGTAGCGCATAGTTGTCAGGTGTGGTGGTATATTGTATATTGTATCTTAGTACTCGGGAGGCTAAGAATTGTGAGTTCAAGTCAAACCTAGAATGCATAGCAAGAACATGTCATCTCAAAAAGAAACTTTTCAAAAATAAGTCCTGTTTTTTTTTTAGTTTGTTTTTATGTGCATTGGTGTTTTGCCTGCATGAATGAATGTCTCTATGAAGATGTCAGGTCCTCTAGAACTGGAATTACAAACAGTTGTGAGCTGCCATGTGGGTGCTGGGAATTGAACCCAGGTCCTCTGGAAGAGCTACCAGTGCTCTTAACCTCTGAGCCATCTCTCCAGCCCATAAGTCCTGTTTTTTATACATCAATATTGACAGCACTAAGAAAGAAGTCAGGAAAATAATTCTATTCAACGTATCCTTCAAAAATAGGAATAAATTTCAAGGAAGTAAATGACCTTTACAATAAAAATTGTAAAATAGGGCTGGTTATATGGCCTAGCAGGCAAGGACACTTGCCAGCGTGAGTGACAACTGGAGTTTGAACCCATAAGGAAGAGAAGGAGAGACTTCCACAAGTTGTCCTCTGACCTTTACCTGCTCGCTAGAGCACACACATGCACACACAAATGTAAAAACAAATTTTAATACAACAGTAAAATATTAAAGAGAAATTAAAAGGAACTAAGAATTCACTCAGCAGTTGAGAGGTGTCTGTACGCTGTTGAAGACACCTGAGTTCAGTCCCCAGATCCCATACAGGGCAACTCACAATCTCCCTAAGTGCAGCACACGGGTCCAGATACTTCTGGCCTCCTCAGACATGCACTCACACGTACAGACACATACATATAACTAAAAGTAAACTTTTTAAATTAAACTAGACAATGGAAAGGCTTTGTATGTTTATAAATTGAGAGAATTAATTTTGTAAAATAGTCATACTGCTGATAGATCTACAGATTGAGTACAGTACATCAATGGCATTCTTCACAGAACTAGAAAAGTCAATCCTAAAAATTACACATGGACACAAAAGACCCTGATAACCAAAGGACTCTGAGACAAAAATACATTGCTGCCAGACCTAGTAGCACACACCTTTAATCTCTAAGCCCTTGGGAGGCAGAGACAGACAGATCTCTATATGAGTTCAAGGACAATCTGATCTATGTAGTGAATTCCAGGACAGCCAGGGCTACGTAGACAGACTTTGTTTTTTGTTTTTTTTTTTTTAAAGTACAATGCTGAGACATCATAATACCTCATGTCATACAGAGCCATAGTAACAAAAATGCCTGCTACTGCCACAGAGATGGAAGCAGAGCCCAGTAGAACAGCCTAGAGTGTCCAGAAATAGGCCTATGTGTCTACAGCCATTTGATTCTTATAAAATTGCTAAAAATACACAGTGAAAAAAACACAGCCTTCTTAACACATGTGCTGGTTAAAATTGCATATTTGTATAAAAAGATAAAAACTAGATCCTTATTTTGCACTCTGTAGAAAAAACTCAAAATAAATCAAAGGCCTTAATATAAGACCTGAAACTTTGAAAGTATTAGAGGAAAAATATAGGGGAAACACTTCTAGATTTCAGAGGAAGAAATGATTTCCAAATAGGACTTCATTAGTTTAGGAAATAAAACTTAGAATTGGTACAGAGGACTATATCAGAATTTAAATAACATGCATAAAGAAAGAAGCCATCCATGAAGACAAAACCTCTAGAATAAGAAAATCATTGCCAGCTATTTATCCCATAGATGAGTAATGAAATGACCAGAATATTAAAACTAATTCTAAATAAGGCAAGGTGGCACATTCTTGTAATCCCAGCTTTTTAAAGTTTTAAGACTAAGGCAGGGAGTTTGAGGCCAGCCTGATCTATAAGAGCTAGTTCCAAGACACTAGGACAGCTAGGTCTACATAGAGAAACCCTGTCTCAGAAAACAAAAAACAAACAAACAAACAAACAAAAAAAACCTAAGGCAGGAAGAGTATGTATCTGAGGGCCTTCCTGGATGACAGAGTAAGACCACTCTCAAATAAGATTATTTTTTAACGACAAAACAATGAGTGATTTAACCAATAGGCAAATAATTTTAGAAGTACTTTTCAAAAGGAATCCAAACAGCCAATAATACATAATAAAACTATTTGATCTCTTTAGCCATCAGGGAAATGCAAATCAAAGTGACAATGAGATTCCATCTAACTTTTATCAGAACAGCTACAGCAGGTGTCTTTGGGAGGACTGCACTGGATTATGAGCGCTGTGTTTCTGATCCCTGTATTTAGGAGATTTGAGGCAGGAGGATTGGTGCAATATCAAGGTCAGCTGTGCTTCGTGGTGAGTTCTAGACCATTCCAGGCTTCAGAATAAAACTTGTTTCAGACTTGTTGCTAGGGAAATGACTCAGTCGATAAAAGCACTGACCTCCAAGCCTGATAAGATGAGTTAAATCCCAAGGACTCACATGGTAGAAGGAGAGATGTCAGCCTGACTTCCACAAGCACTCCATGATATGTAAACACTCACATTCACACACAAACAAATAGAATATACTGTCAATTTTATTTTGATTTATTTATTTATATGAGTGCTCTATCTGATTGTACACCTTTATTCCAGAAGAAAGTATCAGATCCCACTATAGATGGTTGTGTGACACCATATAGTTGCTAGGAATTGAACTCAGGACCTCTGAAAAGAGCAGTCAGTGCTCCACCACTGAGTCATTTCTTTAGCCCCCCGATTTTGCTTTTTAATTTCTGAAACTTTATTATGAAAGCAGTTAAAAAAAAATCACACATCGCCAGGAGATGGTGGCGCATGCCTTTAATCCCAGCACTCAGGAGGCGGAGGCAGGCGGATCTCTGTGAGTTCGAGGCCAGGCTGGACCGATAGCCTCCAAAACAGAGAAACCCTGTCTCATAAAAACAAAAACAAAAAAAATCACACATCAAAATTAACTGGACATGAAGACTACAGCTCTTGAACTTCAGTACAATTGAAGCAGACATTTTGAACTTCTCTATTTTACACTTCACTATCAAATATATCTTTATACACTTAGCCACCACCCAAACCAAAAACAATTACAAAAAAGTCACAGCAGAGATAGAACTAAAAAGCAATTACCTTTATATCCTGTTTTGTAACTTGAATTCGGTTTGGGGGGGAGTTGTTTTTGAGCCAGGGTTTCTCTGTGTAGCCATGGCTGTTCTTGAACTCACTCTGTAGACCAATCTGGCTCAAACTCAGAGATCCACCTGCCTTTGCTTCCTGGGTGCTGGATTTAACGCATGTGTCACCACTGCCGGAAAATAACCTGAAAATTCAAGAAGGACTATTACAGAAAGGAAAGGGATGGGTGGAGAAGACAAGTGGGGGTGAGGGGAGTTAAAAGGGGGTACTCCCATGCAGGAACAGCCCCAGGGACCAGAGATACAGGCTATCAGTGAGTTCATGGAAGACAGAGGAACTCCGAAGTAGAGTTCATTAGCTATGCTGTGGCACAGTGGGCAGTGTTATGGTATACTGGAACAGTTGCAGTTGGAATTTACTGTGACTAGCACTAGTCTATCTTCAAGGCAATGACAGTCTTTCCCTGTGTCAGAAATGCCAAGCATGGCCACCCACCCACCCTACACTGGCATCTGCATTTGCAACTAGGGTTTGTTAGGATTAACTCTTTTGACACCGTAATGATCTTGCCTGAAGACGGTGGTGACTTTGCCCTGAGCATAGCCGTGTTGTGCAGTCGGAGTGTCTCAGCACAGCTATCCCCAGTATGGCATCCACGATAGGATATGGATTTTATTATTTTATTTTTTAAAGTACAGCATTAAGGATTGTAGCTCGTTTGGTAAGCATGCTTGCCTGGCTGGCTAGCTCTGGGTTCCATCCCTAGTACCACAGAAATCCAACATGTTGGCACAGGCCAGAAATCCACCCAAGAAGTGGAGCCAGAAAGATCCGGAAGTAATTCAAGGTCATCCTCCAGACAGATTTTTTTTTTTCAAGACAGGATTTCTCTGTATTGTTTTGGAGTTTATCCTGGAACTCGCTCTGTAGATCAGGCTGGCCTCAAACTCACAGAGATCCACCTGCCTCTGCCTCCCAAGTGCTGGGATTAAAGGCGTGCCCCACCAACGCCCCTCCAGACAGAATTTGAAGTCAACCAATGCTATGAAACTGTCTCAAAAAGGAGAAAGACCAGGAGGGAGAGGAGGTGCTTGGTGGGTGTGGGCTGCGGTATGCTAAAAACTGGATATTTTATGTACTTTTTCAAGATAAACTCCATGGAAGAGACCTGTAAGTATGGGTGTTTTATTTTATCAGAGCATTTTGTAAATAAAGACAGAATTTGAACTTGAAAGAAAAAAAGAAGTTAGACAACAGTGGCACACGCCTTTAATCCCAGCACTCTGGAAACAAAGGCAGTCTGTGAGTTCGAGGCAAGCCTGGTGTACTGAGTGAGTCCTAGGACAAGTTCCAAAGCTATACAGAGACTCAGTCTCGAGAGAAAAAAAAAAGATAAACCCCAGACAGGATTGACTAGTGCTGATCTGGCTACATTCTGGTTTTTCCATTCACAGCTCAAGTGAGGGCGTTCCTCACTCCCTTTAAGGATTTATTTTCCCCTGTAATCTAGAACTTCAGGTCGAGAAGGCCAAAAGCACCAGAACCCAAAACAAAGGAAGGGGCGTGACCTCCTACTTCAGGCTCCCAGGCATTCAGTCCAGAAGAGCACTACAGCTACGAGCCTGGGACTCTTCAGGAGCTCACTGTAACTCCCGAGTGAGGCCCTTACTGCAGATTCTAGCCAGGTAGACATTGGTGCTCTGTGGTACCCACAGGTTTTTCCGCGTTGATGAGGATCGCAAGGCCAGAAATCCATCTCTGTGTGGCCAGTTTTCTCAGTAAACTATACAAGGTGATGGTTCCAGATAAGAACTGACCCAAACATATTTCTCGTTCTCTGATGCTTGTAAGGACCATGGCTCAGGTACAAGGGGACACTGGAACTGGAAGGGTGGGCTCCTTGGGTCTGGGGTTCCTAGTGGACCTCAACACGTAGGGAGAGGCCAGGCCCCTGCTTCGCTGGTTTCTCTGTGAAACACCTAGTTGATGCCAGACACAACTGGCTAGGGCGAGGAAACGGGTGACCAGAGAATCTCTGCTCATCAGGACCTTGCATGCACCTCTGGGCAGTTGGAACACACGTGATCTGAAAGTGTTAGTTCTTGCTGCTCTGTGTGGTCTGGGTGAAAGAAGAGCCGACAGCAGCAGGGAGCCGAGTAGAAAGGAAGAGTTGGAATCAGCTGTTCGTGACTGTAACCCAAGCTGAACTAGGACACACAAGCCAAGCTAGCTTTAAAGTCAAAATCCTGCTTCAGGCTCCCCGGTCCTGGGGTTACAGGCATGCGCCATCATACCCCATATCGGAATTGACAATTAAGCTTGCACACGGGGAACCTTAGGGAATGATAATGCAAGGGATAGGAGAGGGGTGTTGTGGAGGTCATCAAAGCCGCGGAAGCATTCCAACCAAGCCCCGGGTAATGATTAAGCTTCTGGTGTGCTTGCTTAAGAGACTTGGAGCACAAAGGCCCCGAGACCAGTGTGCCTGTGTGTGCCCTTCCGGCAGAGACAGAGTGTTTGGAAGGCCAGAGCAAGAGAAACTAGTCCTGAGGATGCAGGGACCCCAGGGCTGTGCGAGACCAGTGGACACGGAGCTTCCCTCTGAAGGAGGGAAACCTGAGAGCAAATACCAGGAAACTAAAAGGATTATTCTGAGTGTGGGTTGGGAAACAGACTCGGTGAGCTAGAGCAGGAGCCAAGTAAGTGTCCCCAATCCACAAGTGATGCATGCATGGCAGTTTGACCCTGGACGGAGCATTTTGGATACCGAAAGGGGTAGGGCTATAACACAGTTGGTAGTGTTTGTCTAGCACGCACGGAGCCCCAGCCCTGCGTAAACCTGGGTGTGGTGGGGCATGCCTATAATCCCAGCGTCTGGGGTAGAGGCTGGAAGGTCACCAAGGAGTTCAGAGCCAGCTTTGGCTAGATGAAGCCCTGTCTCAAAAGCAAAAGGGAAAGCCAGTACCGATGGTGCTGCCTCGAGGTGGGGAAGGAGCAAGGAGCTCTCACTGTGTGAGGACAGATGGGTGCTGGGGAAGAGGTTCTCCTGACCGATGAGATTTCCTTCTGGTGGAGTCTCCTGCATCCAGGGAGAACTCTGAGCAGAAGGAAACATTTGGTCTCAGCATGGCATTTTTTCCTTTCCCTCCTTTCTTCATTTTCTCAATTAAGTATTTCTTAGGCTTTTTTTTTCTTGCCTTTTTTTCTTTCTGTTGTACATATAGCAGTATTCACTTTGTTTGTTTGTTTGTTTTATAAGACAGGGTTTCTCTGTATTGTTTTGGAGGCTGTCGGTTCAGCCCGGCCTCGAACTCACAGAGATCCGCCTGCCTCTGCCTCCCGAGTGCTGGGATTAAAGGCGTGTGCCACCAACGCCCGGCCAGATAAATCTTAGATTCTGTTGTTGCTTCTTGGAAAATGGCTTGTAGGAGGGTCAAAGGAGAACACCGCCCAGTGCGCAGTATTCACTTTGTAATACAAGAAAGCTAGGCAGCAGGGAGAGGACAGTCTAGCTCATGTTGACTAGGCAAGCACTGGGAATAGGAATTCTGACAACCCCTACTTCATGTGTCATGACCAGTGAGAGGAAGCCTGGATCCTAAACAGGGTGAGATGTAAATGCTATGGATAAGTAGACTTCAAAACCGGTGGCTCTGAGGCTTAATAAGTATCATTTAAACCAAAGAGAAACATGTTTTTGTTGTTGGGGTTTCCTTTCGTTTTGTTTTTCAAGACAGGGTTTCTCTGTATTGCTTTAAAGCCTATCCTGGAACTCTCTGTAGACCAGGGTGGCCTGGAACTCACAGAGATCCACCTGCCTCCCCCCCCCCCAGTGCTGGGATTAAAGGCTTGGGCTGCCAACACCTATGGAAGCAGGGGGGGGGTTGGCTGTCAATGACACAATCAGATGAATCTTAAATAGATTCTGTTGTTGCTTCTTGGAAAACGGCTTGTAGGAGGGTCAAAGGAGAACAAAGACTAAGGGACTGGATGGATGAGGTCACCCAAGCCTGTAATTCCATAATTGAAGTGGAGGTAAAGTGACCTAGGCAAAGCCCTTTTACAAGGGGTGTGCTGGCCACATGGCTTGGTGAATACAGTCCCTCACTGCCAAGGCTGATGACCTGAGTTAGGTCCTACTTGGCAGAAGGATAGAACCAACTCCCCACAGTTGTCCTCTGACCACTCATGTGCCACAGAATGTGTATCCCCCATATATATATATATATATATATGTGTGTGTGTGTGTGTGTGTGTGTGTGTGTGTGTGTGTGTGTGTATGCCCACACAAAATGAAAATGAATGCAATAAGAAAACTTGAGGAGCTGAATTACGGATTTACAAAACAGAAGGCAGTAGGTAAATTCCAGGAGGCAGACAGGCCAGGCTGGGTAAAGCTCAGGTGTCTTTATTTCTGCCAGTGTCTAAGTCCTATTTAAAGAAGGTCATTAGTAGGAAAAAAGTAGGCATAGCCATTCCACACAGCTTCACTGACCCTGCTCTCCTCCCATCCTCTTCCCAATAAAACAGCCTGGCCAAGGAGTGGTGGCACACGCCTTTAATCCCACCACTTTCGAGGCCGAGGCAGGCTGATCTCTGTGAATTCGAGGCCAGCCTGGTCTACAGAGTGAGTTCCAGGACAGCCAGAACTGTTGCACAGAGAAATCTCGTCTTGAAAAGACCAAAACAAACAACAAAAAACAGCCCTGCCTTTCCTGTTATCAGAACTACTTCTCTTGGGGAGTGAGTGCCGAAGATTAAATATGGCCACCCTACAAAGATTATACATTACCTGAACATCAAACAAACTGGAAGTTCCGGTGTGTGCTCAAGGCCAAGCCTAGTACCTGGCTCAAAGGAACCCCAGCAAATACATCGTATGCAGGAACACACCGTAAATGCCAGCTTGACTCACCATGGGGCCCTCCCACGGGAGGAGCTGAGGTATTGAAAACCAGACAGTCCAGCAGGGTGACAAATGAGTACATGACAGTGTGGCTCCTAAGTCACATCTTGTGTGGCCTGCTCAAAGAGGCTCAGACTAGGATGAGGAAGTGAAACCCAGCCCCACCCGTGCCCTTGGACCGGCTCCTTCCTGTGGGTGGGCACTGTCCTTTCTCCCTGGCGCCTTAGAGCACCAGGGTGCTAAA